CCCTTGTATTATTTAACGTCTTTCAACTTAGGGTCATTTGGAATCAACCAAAAATGACCCCAAGTTGAACCACATTAAATAATTTAACACTGCACTCATACTGTTTAATATTGCACTTTTAATACCTTACTATTAAAGGTTTAATAATGTTTAAACACAATTCAGGCTCCTTATTAGCATAGAAATGTGTGACAGCAAACAATAAAGTATATTGTGGCGATGATGTGTGGGAAACTACCTAAGAATGAAGCTGACAGATTCACGTTTTCTAATTAATTAAACAAAATTGGCTCTTAGAATGCTGACCTCTAATGAACTGGCATCTTATCCAGGTTGTAACCTGCCTTGTGCCCATGGCTAGCCAGGGTAGGCTTCAGCTCCACCACGACCCTGTATTGGTGACAGGAATTAGAAAATGGATGCATGACTCTCAGAATGTACATTTGTAACTGGCAAATTGATATTGACTGTTGCCTGAGTTTATATTAGCATTGCCTTGCTTCTCAGTGCTTGGCCCTCTATGTCTGGCTCTTCATGATACCTTTGTACAAGTAGTTAGTGTTATGAGGTTCGGTTGTCAATGTAAATGTACGTTAGATGTGAAGAAAAGGCACCACATTTTTTTGGGCTGAGGGATTGCAACATTTCAGGCAAAGACATACTGTGTGCTATTATTTGCTTCCGGAGCTTAAATTCAAAGGCGTACGTAGAGTTAAAGTTGTGTATCTTCAGTGTTTTCTACAGATGCTTTTTTAAGTTTTATAGAGTCTTATGACTTGCATGAGATGCAAATTTGAATTTGCCAGTATCCAAACAGCATTTCCAAATAGATAGAACTTGGCATATTCCCTGCGGAATTTCAAGCTACAGTTGACACTTGTTAAGAAAGGGGTTTCTCTTTTGATTGGTGAAAGTCCCAAAAGAGAAAGCAGTTTTTTTATCAGTTTTCAAATGGTGTTGAAGTCATTTGTTTTTATGTTATAATCCAATGTGTTTTTTTTTTTAAAAAAGCTGACAGATATGCTTTTTAACCTTAGCGTAATGAAAAACAAAAAAGGTTACAAATGAGAGGAGGCTATTCAATCCATCTGGTTCATTTGCTCACGTTAATAACCATTTAGATATACTGTAGTGAGCTATCATATAGTAAGTATGTAATATATATAAAGCATATACATTAAGTAAACCAATTTGCTTTAAATTATAGAACAGTGATGTTCAGGCTCTAAAAATAGTATATTTCCATGTATCTTTGGATAAAGAAGCACTGTTAACTGTTTTTTAAATTAATTTGAATATGTTTAAATGCACATCCTTTTGGAACAGGTTGGACATGCAACTATTAATGTAAAAAAGTACATATAAATGAAACAGGAGACCTCAGGGATAGGGAGGGTAAATCACAGAAAAGTTTTATTGCCAAATAAAACAATTATATTGCATGTTAAAACAGAAAACAGGAAAAACTGCCTGTTAGTGCAGCAATTAAATGTAAATAGAAGAATGCTTACATTAATAAATTTGAATGTGTCTACTGGGCTGTGGTCGACTCTGATTGGGACTCTCCAAGGGTTATTGTACAGTGCCTTATGTTCCCCAAGGGTTCGGTGACTTTTATAGTTGAAATAACCATGAAGATACTAAAGTGCCGACAAAAATAATTGCATTAAAATTAGGTAAAAACAGTCAGTTGCACACACAGAACTCCATATGCTTGTAGTTCATTATTTTAACACCGGTTGTTCCTTACCTTGAAGGAAGTGCATTCTGGTACAATAAAAATGAATGAATAAACTATAACAATGTGGAGTAAACAACAAACTGGTTTTGACTAGCTGTAATGGATTTTAAAGCTGCCCAGAACGAAAGTAAATATATACAGTAGTAGGTAATATTATTACATTATATTAATGTTCTATCCAGTATGAGTCTTCACTAGCGAAGACACCAAATTATTGGCTAATGTTAATCATTTTCTTGGCTGATGTTAATAACGTTCCAAGCTAGGTTTAATGAATAGGTTTCTGATGTCTTTATCAGTCATTCTGGCTCTTCAAAATAATAACTAAATTAGCTTCCGGCTCCTGATAGTATTTCCCCACATTTTTTAACAAGATAAGTAAAAATCCGCAAGCCTTTAGTCGATGGATCATATTGAATCCAGTGAAACATGCAAACGTCCCGAGCAAATGGTGTGTGCAGAGGGCTCAAGTTTCAAGATCGCGCTGACACAGGAAGCAACAGGCCATCCATTTTAACATGTGTTGTACGTACACTCCTAGAATCAGTAAAAATAAATAAACTCTAGGCACTTCTAGGGCATATTCTTTGTCACAGATAATCAGATTGTGTAGATCGGAAACATGTTTCACTCATTTACATGGCTTCATTGGAAATGTCACTAGATGTTTCTGACTGCTCCTGAACATTCTGCTCTTTAATTCTGAGGATGCAGTTCTCTAAACCGTTTTTTCTAGCCTCGAATGACAAGAATAGGGGAGCTTTCTGAATCGACTGAAACACAGTATCAGACATGTGTGGTGCAAAACGTGGAATGCTGCAGAGTTGTTTGCCAGCCCCTTTCCTCTTACTAGTGTATGTGAGTGGCTGGGATGAGGACCAATACATTTCTTAAACTTTTTAAGGATACCTAAATTGGGGCTACCTCAATGAAGTGAAGGCCTGAAAGGTAAGAACTTTTATGACAAATTGAAAGATATACATACAGTAGGAGCAATTAAAAAGTCAAAGGCAGGAGAAAGAGGGCAAGCCCCTTCTCTGAAATGTACCTATTTCCTTGTCCTTGTGCTTTCTCTAAAATCTTCCACAATACCACTCCCCCCCACAAACATTTGGAAAGTTAAAAAAAGATGGATTTATCACCCCACCCCCATCCTCTACCCTTAAAATCAAACAAACTGACAAAAACATTCAAAGGTTTCTCCACATCCCCACCCATTATTTAAGCAAGCCCATTTTTGACCCCCTCACCGCCACTACCTCCAGTGGTGTCTCCACTGTTTAGGGTTAAAAAGTTAGAAGCTACTGAAGGAGCTCTTCAATATTGTGGATGGGACGAACAAAGCTGTTGGAGTCATTCCAAACATCATCCAGCGGAAGAGAGGGAGGGAGGAATAAATGGGAACTTAGAAATATCATATCCAGAAATGTCCTGCTGTTCAGAAGGAATCTGAAGATGTTATTACTGAGCATTTTGAGGTACTTCTATCTATTTTCTAACTGCTTTATCCATTTCAGGGTCGCAGGGGGAGTCGGAACCTATCCCGACAAGTAATGGGTGCAAGGCAGGATACACCCTGGATGGGACACCAGTCCATCGCAGGGCACATACAGATATAGACACAGATAAACCGGGGTCAATTTTCCTAGTAGCCAATTGATCTACCAGTATGTCTTTGGACAGTGGGAGGAAACTGGAGCACCCAGAGGAAACCTTCGCAGACACAGGGAGAACATACAAACTTCACGCAGATTGCACCACAGGAACTTAACCCAGGGCCAGAGTGCTGTCCCACCTTGCCATTCTGAACTGATTTCCCACCCATTTAATATTGTTTACGTCACCGGGAATGTTATACTAAAAACCTGGGGCTGTACCTCCTTCCTGTACACTCCACATTGTGTGGCTGTACTATACTGTATGTGCAATGGCCCAATGTGCTTGCTCGCAGTGGTCATAAATATTTTTGGAATGTACTATAGAAGAAGTCTTTTCTCCTTTGCTTTATCTTGTGTTTTGTCTCTGGCCTCCTTTGCCTTGGCTCCCATGCCACTATTTGCTATGAAACGTGAACTTTATGAATGATTCCAGCCCCCTAAAAGGAGTCAGATTCTATCTCGTTTCCAGTAGTTTTCCAGTCCGGTCCGACACTGAAAGGTTTACTGCACCTGCCGCATGTGAGACGGGATGTCGCCCCTCTCATTACAGTGTTCCTGTGATTTTTTTTTTCCTGTCATAATTTGCCACTGATTTTTCTCGGTTTGGCTTAAGCAGTGTGGGGGTACCAGTCAATTAAGCCCATATGAGAGTGGTGTTGAAAGGTCATCTATAACAATCATTTTCACTTGCTTGTTATACACAAGCAGCGACCAAAAGAGCCAATTTCCTATCCCGCTTTTCGGAAAACTGACAGATGGCGAAAACCTGGAAAAGCTTTCTTATAATCATTAGCCTTTGGTGTGCTTCATTCAAGGCTATCTGTTGGGGTTTTTTTAAAGTAATGAATGAAAAAACAAAGACTGTTCTGCATGGCTTGAAGGCACCATTAACAAACCTCTGTGTAACCTCAGTCTTACTCAAGATGTTAATTCATAATTTTGGCCAAGTACTGTGACTCCCTCCAGATGTAAGGCAGGACCCCTTAAATGTACTACTCTAAATTGACTACAACCAATAAATGCAAAGAGATGACACCCCAGTTCTAGTAAGCTAGAATGCTGTTTCTTTGTGTTTGTGTATCATTATGTGTTTCTTGCCACTAAATATACCTTCAGACTCAACATGTTTTCAGCTCATTTTAAAACTTGCATTTAAAATGAGATGAAAAAAAAACAAGTTGTATCTGTACTATGCTCAGTACAATCTGGCCCTGTGAATGGCTGTCTTTTTTTCTGTTGGGGGAATGACTGTGTGATAAATGTGTAGCCTGGAACAGCAGCTGAGGCAGGAATTGGCCGAAACTGACTGTTTTAGAGCTGTTTCCTCATATCTTGGCTTTTTGTCATGAATGACCTCTTTCATTTTTTCCAATAATAACTAAACTCAGCTACTCAGCACCCTTTTTCTTTCCACTTATGTTGTTCTGGCAGCAGTTTGTGAGCTCACAATTGTAACTCTATCTGCTCCTCAGCAGGCCTCTGAATTGAGAGGGAGGAGGGTGTTAAAAATAGATAAAGAGTGAAGTCTTCCATTAAGCATGTCTGTGATCCTACAAGCGATGACACTTAAAATTTTTTGTTCTTTTGTTTGTGTCTTTTAGAACTGGAGCTCCACTTCAGCTGTGCCCTGGTAAGACTGAATTCTGTGTCTTGTTTGACAACTCTGCTGGCTTCTGCCAACATGGGCTACAACTGTAGGTATCAAGCAAGATATCAAGATAACCAAGTTATCACATACTGTCCTGCACAAACCTGGTTAACTCAGAGAAGTGCCCTTGTTATACTCTGTAAAATATTATTTCAAAAATAACTGTAAAGGTCTTTCAAGCTCTTCTTCTTTTAAATCCCGAACGTGGGATAAGCCCAGGATTTGAAAAACTAGGCCCTGTCGGTTAAATAGTATTTAAAGGGAATTTCAGTGGCACTCCAGCTGTCCCATGGACCAGCATGGTAAATGTCAAACACTTTCTTTTCAAAGCCTCACAGTTATCTTGAAGCAGAACATTTGTTTTAATGTATTTTGTTACATTCCGGAGAACAGTTCCGACTGATTAACAAAACCGCTTCACCACAATCAGAATGATTGTTCTGGAAAGCTGGCCTGCTTGTAGGATCAAAGCCCACGAGGCTACGCCACTTTGTAGTGTAGTGCTCGAGACAGATATGTTTGCCATCGTTTGGAATTGTTCATTTCAACGTTGCGTTCATCTCGAGTAGTTGGAGTATGAACAGTTTTCAGCCTGTGCAGTTCTCTTTTATATGAAAATGTGTGACTGGATCCATTCATCAAGCTCTCTTAAGCAATAGATCAGTCTGTGAGACATACCCCATACCCCAAAGTTTCACTGTGTTCCTCTAGACTGCAGTGCCCTAGCAGAATTAGGTTTTATTCTCAGCGGTATGGACTTGCAAACATGCCTCCTAAATCCTGCAGTCCCAACAAATTTTGTCCTTTCAGGTAAATAGGAATGAGTTCTGCCATAGACATGTTCTAAGTTTTAGAAATGTTGTTTGCATCGCTGATCTTTATGAAGTCCTTAATTAAGATATAGAACACAGGATATTAACATATAGTACTTCAAAGTACTCAGAATATTGTCTTACTCGAATACATGATTTTGTTTGCATCTCAATAACTTCAGCCTTTTGAAGGCAGATTCTATCAATGGAACAAGTATGATTGGATTCCATGCTGAGAAGTAAAAGGAGCAACACCATGTTTCAGGTGTGTATCTTTCTTTATACTCATAAAGATGACTTCAGGTCCAAACGAGTTTTTGTTCTTTTTTTTTTCTATTTTTTAAACAGGAAATTAACCTCCTGTTCCTTTGTGGCTTTACACACTGAGTGAATTCCCTATTCGATGGCCCTCCTCAAAGGACTTGAGCTCGGAGCTCTAGTTTTCCTGGCTCTGGCCCCGTTAATGCAAGTACTAAGCTACAGTAACTATGTACAGTATTAAATATGAAGGTTAAAAATGTCTGAAGTGATATAGAAATATTTCTTCCATTTAGCAGCAGTATTTTTAACATTATAATTGTGTAGCTGTAAAAATTAAAATTAGATCTGAAAAACTAAGAATGATTATATTAAGACGGTATTAAAATATAGGTTTTAAAGTACAGTATAACTCAGTCTACAACTTGAAATCAAATCCTATAAGATTAGTATCCACTTCTCTGGACACTTAACAGATGTTTTTCCATACATTTTCTATCTTTTAATAGACAACTAGCCATTTATAAAAGTTGCTTGTTGCCAGCACTGGTCGTAAAGAATAGAGGCTTACTCATGATGTGTTATTAAGGGTTTTAATTTTCCACAGCATATTTGTACAGCCATTCAGCGGAAGTAACTAGAAGACTTGTTTCATTACCACTGCAGCCCAGTGAAATCCATAGTGTGTCTGGGAGAGTTCTTTCTGGACCTTATGCAGACTACACAATCCAGGGTAGAGTGAGGAAACACTAGGAAAAAAGGCATGCAGGATACGGGGATGAAAACAGTGTCCATGGAGTGCTGGTGGTCGGGGGAGGTGTGGCCGAGGCAAACGATCCACGGATGAGACAAACGGGAAATCCAAAAACAGGGCAAAAGTCCAAGGCCAGGCGATCCATCAAAGACAGACGAGTAAAATCCAGAACCGTGCCGGGACCGGCAGGGGGCACGGGAACGGGAACAAGAAACAGAAACTAAAAGCATAACGGAGCCAGGCACATCCAAATCCCTGGTTTGCATGATACGGGAACCAATGCAGAGCCCGGATTAGCGTCTGCGTCTGGCTTTTAAGGGGGAACTGAAAAGGGGCTGGAACAGGGAACAGGTGCGGGAGATGAAATAAACAAGGAAGGGCTGGAGCTCCCTTAAGAGGAGGGGTTGCGATCGTGACATAGTGTTCAGTCTAGCACCTACCAGTGTCTGGAGTTCCGTCTCTTACTGTAAAGCGCAACTTGTCTCAGTTGAAAAACTGCTCTAAATACTATTTCTTCTTTTGGTATTTTAGAGACTTTTAAATTAGGTCTTGATCAGTTCTAAATTTGACCTTAGGAAACCTATTTTTTTGGCCAAGAGAGATGATCAAATCCAGTTCTGCAACTTCTATGAATAAGATCTTATATTCCTTGAAGAGTACCTAATACCCACCATCTTATTTCCCCTTAAGGAGCTTTTTTTTGCTTGGAAATTAGTCTACCAAGCACTGCCTGCTTACCTTAGAGGTACCTTAGGGGTTTTCTGCACAGAATCAAAATTGAATCACCTTGCATTCATTGCAGACGTTTGGACTGTATGTGTACCAAAACATTTTGATTTCTGAAGTAAATTGTCTGGGTTTATCAATAGATACCTTGACTTTCCCATGTTATCCGTTAGCATATCTTGTTTCTTTAATTGCAACTTTGAACATGCAGTGACGTGCTTGCTTCTGTGAGTTGCCAGTATATTCTCTGGAATGTGTATTTTCATGTGAGTGGTCCAGTGTATGCTCTATGACACTTAATAACTAGTGCTTGTGGGAGTATTTGTTTTCTAGACTGGTATAACTGGATCTGACTGTGGGAACCAAACCTGTTGGGTACCTTTTTGGGTCTTGCAGCTTACCTTAGATTTTATTAACCACAATAGCTCATACAGGTTCATTTTGTTTGTTTTTTCAAATCCCTGGAAAGACTGATAGTTATTTCTCAGGAACAAAAAACTCCGGTAATTACTCTTAAACAGCCCTCAATTTGTTTTTCTCTTGAACTCAAAAGCACACTGAATTTCTTCATATAACCTTATTGAATAAATAATTTTAAGAGAAACTTCCCCAAGAAAGCATAATTGAAAATAAATCCTTTTAAAGATCTTGTGAATATCAATAGGATATTATGATAAAGATACTTTGCTCTCTTTGTTGCTCTGCTGACCACATGAAATTATTTTCAGTTATCACTTCTAAACTTGAACTTGAACTTTATTGCCATATGTAACCGGTACATGTACTGGTACAATGGAATTCTAACTTACAGAAAGTCTCTCCATTGTTAAAACAAGTGTAAAAACACAAAGTGCAGACGATGCATCAAGACAATATACAAACAGTAGACAATGTACAAGTAAACAAGTAAACAGTTTGAATGTAAACAATGCAGACGTGTAAACAATGACAGGAGATGTGCAATAATTAAGAAATCATAATGAGGTAGAGGGTGTTGGTGTGGTCCGAGGGGCATGGCTAAATGTGTTCACCAATCACTGCTTGTGGATAGAATCTATTGAAGAATCTACTGGTCAGTGTCTGTATGCTCTTGTATCTCTTACCTGAGGGCAGTGGGGTGAAGAGCTCATGCCCTGGGTGGTGACTGTCCTCTGTGATGGCCAGAATTCTACCACAGCAGCGGTCCTCATAGAGCTGTTTAATCTCGGTGAGACCACAGACGATGATCTTCTGGGCCATATTGACCATTCTCTACAGTGCCTTTCTTTCTTGAGAAGAGTTGTTGCCTCTCTGCTCAAGACTAAGGAACCTATAATCCTGTAATTTCTAACTCAGCTCATATGTGCTAAGGGTTGTGCCTTCTCTTTTTCATATTTGCCTTTTATGTCACTATTTTTCAGAAACTATTGTTTTTGAATTTTTTCTTATCTATTCTCAGAAAGCTGCTTTTTCCTGGTATAGTCTGTGGCACCACAGTGTCTGTCCTGGCAGACAGCTATTAATCTAAGTAGCATTGTTGTAGCAATGCAGAAGTAAGTCAGAGTACCTGAAGCAAGTCCATACAATGAGATGAGAACATGCAAACTCCACACAGAAGGTTATCCTTAATCGAATCCAGGATTGAAGAACAGTGAGGAAAGAGCGCTACCCACCATGACACTGTGCAATCCATTACTTCTATGCTTAATTAAGATCATTCTGTATTAATTGAAATCAAAATCATATGTATCTTTGTCTTCTGCTTTTCAAGACAAGTGAACAATAATTTTGATAACACGGATACTGTGAAGCAGAAGAGTGCCCCATTAATAAACAGTCCCCTCAAGTCACTCTGACTGCTACACACAGCTGTTTTCATGCTACTACACTATAATTTTTTACTTTTGCTACCAGTTTTTAATTATTGGTACTGTATATTGCTGCTCAAAATATCTCTGGAATGAAATAAAAAACAGCTTTCATTTATTGAGAAAGGTTCCTGTGTAACCGTCTTTATACCAGCACCCTCTCCACCTGTCCTCTGGCATGGAATTAGCAACAAATGCTTATCCATTGATGAATTAAAATATTTTTTACCAATTGTCACTCTGCACTAATCTTTTATCACCTAAATAGGAGGTTAATGTACATTTGTCACTACTGTCCTTACCATTACATGATGAATATCTCCCATAATATAGGCTTACAAAAGACAGATCTATGAGGGCATCTGCAGTATTTCAAAAGAGAAAAAAAATCCTGTAGTGTGGTAGAACGTTATGATTTTTCAAACTAACAATAATAATTTGAATTTCTTTGGAATGTTATATTCAGCCCTTCCATCTTTGCAGATTGACTTGTTTGATGAATCACTAGGAAGTCTTCACCTCACTTGAATTATATTCTCAGCGTTTTGGGTGCTGTTTGTCTGACAATACAATGCTTCAGGCCAGACCATTATTATTACTATTAATAATATCTCTGTAAAGACTTTGATGCATGAAATATTTATGCATAATTAAAATATTTATGATTAAGGTGGAAGGTTGTGTACTTTTGTCCAACTGAGCAATCTTGCTTTTATAAAATATACAGACTTTTTAATGCTTAATGATTAACATGCTGTAATACACAGTTTAAAATTATTAAAAGTCTAAAGAGTATACAACTTCAATTCTTAATTGGAAGAAGATTGTCCTTCAGCAGTGACCGGGATTCGAAAACCAGGCGTTTTCTGGCGAAAGCTCGTATGCTGTTAGTGAGATGTTAAGCTTTATTAGCTCCACCAGGCGGTTTTACAAGGTGCTTCTGGATACTATTATCATAACATGCGGTATGATGCAGTATGATGTGTTCTGATGCGCCACGCCTACCACGTATTAACACAGCGTACTTCGCACATTTGGAACGACTGGATCTGTATATTGGGGAGTAAGAAAATCTAGCTTTTGTTGCTCTGGAACAAATCTGTTTTTCATCCCTTCATAAAATGGAGACATTTTTAAAAAACTTGGATTCAAGTTGTAGCGGGTGAGCAGGGGGTGCAGTAGAATGTGGTCAGCATGGTGGATCAGCGCTGGAGACTGCTGGTTCAAATCCAACCATGCCATAAATAGACTTTGGTTCTTAGCTCCCAGGTGGGCAGTACACAGCTGACTGCGCACTACCCTAGTTGGATAAGTTACAGTAGGTCCAGCTGGGTGAAGACGGTAATCCCCAATTCCCTGCAGACCTTCGGCTCCTGTCACTTTCGACTCTGTGGTGTTACTCTCCACCCTGCTCCGGAAATGAGAATCCTGTGTGAGCACCAACCCCACAGCATGACAAGAAGCAGGTGGCTTGGAGATGCACCTAGAATGGAAGGCGCCTTGAGGGAAGGCTTCCGTTACATGACAGCGTTTTGAGTCTTTCAACCTCCAGCACACATTGTACTGCTGAAAAAATCATATGTCTGCCCATGTACGTTTCTCAGAATGAGCAACAAAGCTAAAACCAACCAGAAATCAGTGTTGGCTCATACAATGACTAAAATTGGCCCCGATTGTTGTGCGATTTGAGTTGTGTTTGTTTCCCCAATTGGTACAGCCAGTAACAAGGCATTTGCCTAAGTAAGAATGTACTGTATTATGAAAAATGACAGGCAATTACATCGCAGATAAATGCATAACACTTTTTTTACAAGATATGAGAACTCTTCAATTTGTTCATTTAACAGCTTATTGGCACTTTTTTTTTCTCCACAGCTCATTTTTTTCTTATAAAAAAATGTAAATGTAGCTAAAATTTTTTAACCCAAACAGAAATTTTGAACGCACCGCGTTCCTTCTTTTGTACCACTTTGTCATTTAAATTTTAGTTTTGCGCCTTTTTTTTCATTCAAAGAATCAGCTTCTTATTGGACAATAACCCTGAAAATTGCACTGAGAAAGGCGCTTCAGAAATCAGGGATCCTCTCACAAAGGTGGCTCCTATGTACAGCACTCAGCACTTCATATACAGAACTGCACAGTGGAAAAAGCAGAGGGCTGTGGAGGAAGACGATAAAGGCGAACTCACACACAATGTGACCTGTGTATGTGCTTAACCACTGGGAGTGGGTTAGTTGCATGTGAGGAAAATTCAGTATCACTAATCCCCTGATGTAAGTGATTTAGAGACACAGGAAATACTTGACCTTACACTCGAGGCAAGCTCAGGAGCACATTTGTGCTGAAGGTGTAATTGGTATAATTAAGAACTGGCACTAACACCTCTAATGTCACTCTCTGTGCTATTTATGATTGACTATTTTTTTTCATTGCTCTGTTATAGAGATGCCATTGCACGTTTATGGTCAGTTTGTGAAACATGGTAAAAGCAATAATGATCCCTTCAGCTTGTTTACTTGTGGGATTAACAGGAACAGCAGACAAAGAGACCTTCAGGAAGAAACACATTATATTCCTGCATTGTTGTTTATTTTTGTTACTGGCACTTTGTCACTGCTGTCATCAGTGCAGTATGGCAGTTGTATGTTGTACAAGGACCCAGGCAATTCTTAACCCTTTGCTTTCTGTTAAATGACTTTTAATTAAAAAATGCTGTGCTAATCCAGTACTTTTAATTAAAACGAGCTCTGAGATTTCTCCAATTGATAATGTGAAAAGAATGAAAATATTTGCAAGCAGTTATGTGGAAAAATGGTTAGGGCTCTGGACTTGTAACGGGAAGTTAGAGGTTCAAAACCCAGCTAAAACAGTACTGTTGTACTGAGTAAGATACTTTGCCTAATTATTCCTGTAATATTGAAGTCAAGTATTTTATGCTGTATAAATGAGTGCAATTGTATGACACTTTGGACAAACATATCAAGCTAATTAAGAAAATGAACAGTTATACTGTTAAGGTATATCAGCAAACCAATATTTAGAAATGTATCTCCTGCTTTTATGGAGGGCAGTAACTTACAGGGATGCTTGCTCAGTTTTTTCCATATTAGATAACTCTTTAGTTGCCACTGAACCTAGCTTTAGAAATTGAGATGGAAACTTATCTTTTATCTGTCTCTGAGAACCTGGAAATATTTGGGTTTTTTTCTGTACAGCACTGTACCCAACCCACGACCTGCAGCTCCACAAGTCTTAGAAAACTCCTGGATGAAAAGAGGTGTTTAACATTTAGGAAAGGTGTTAAATTGGTCAAATTAAGGTAACCATTAGCTGATTTTGGTCAACGGGGAGAAGTGCCGACACTCAGCACTGCGGCCCTCCAGGACTGGAGTAAACTCTTCTTTGTGGCTGACTGATCCTTCCTCTTCCTGGTGACAGCGGAGAAATTCTCATCAGGTAGGAGGTCTAGCCTCTGACCTGCAGAAACTTGGAGAATGCCACCATAGTTAAGCCGAGACCATGTTTTTTTTTCTAATTGTGATGTAGCAAAGACAGTGGGTGATAAACGGAATGTTAGCCTTCACACAACTTGCCCTTAATGGAGGCCGACCTGAAAGCTGGCAGGTTGTTTATGCAAAACGATGCCCGGATAGTTAAAAAAAAATCAGGAGGGAGCTCGCCAAGGGGCTGACACCATTAACAGCCTGTTTTATCTGCTTTGGCGGCCCTGCATTCCTTTCCCCTGAGCCACAAATCTCCTTCAAAAGCTGCTGTGAGACAAGGATTCCATAGCCAATACAATGTAAAAGTTATTTTTCATTGGAGGTCTCTTCAGTACATGTGAGCCTTATAATTCCCTCATCCCTGCAAGCACTACAAATAGCCATTCCTCCTGATTTAGGAAAGTTTGCATCCTTTTTTGAGCCTGTACATGAGACAGCATGTACAGCTTAGACTACATGCCTCTGCCTTTCGGGCTACACATGTAGTAAATTAGAAGATAGAAGTCATGTCTGTTAATAATTCAAATGTAGTTGGGTATGTTGCGTAAGATTACCTGATGAGTAAAGGCGAATGCCACTCTGTCATATGTTGTACTTATGTAATAAAATTCTGCGGTTTTCAGATCATGACTAGCTTGTTATTTAAAGAGGATGAGGGGTGGCAGAATGTATGGTTTTTGTTTTAAATCCTGGACCTTTTCCACTTCACTGATGTTCTTTCTTTAAATATTTTGGAATATGGTTTATATACCCTAAGCCAGGCAATCCTACAGGTATTAAAGTTGTCTGTCGATGGAGAGCAGTCAGGGAGAAGAGTGTTCATTTTGACCAAACTGGTGGTGATTTATTAAGACAGAATGAAAAACATGAAATGCTTGGGTTCACGACGATAGAAATGGACCACCTCGGGTCATGAGAATTGGTCTCAGAACAAAGCAAATAATGGTCTCGAGTCAATTCAGCTGCCAAGACATCCTCGTTTGTTCTCCCTGAACCGCGTGTGAGTGGTGGGTAGCATGATGAAAGCCCCTTCCCCCTTGCTGAGCAGTTGATGAAGTGCGTTTGCACCACACTAATGGGTAACAGATAGATATAGCAATTTTGGAACTAAATTTTCATCCCGCATCTGCGTCGCGGCTCAAAGCATTGCAGCCAAGTGCTGATTGTTCCCTGACTCCTCATTCAAAGGAGCTGGGGCACCTGCACATCGAAGTGTCTCGTACCACTGCTTTGCGCTAACACAAGCGCATTCACATTCTCAATCAGGAACGTGGGTCTCGGGAAGATAGTACATAGGATATGAGAACATAAAGTTGCGTTCACGTTTGACAGAGCGACATGAGCCACCACATGTCAGTGCACACCAGAGTCGACTTGGAAACAACCGAATGCAATGCAACAGGAACTCGGTCGGACATAGCTACAGGAGAGGAAATCCCTACACGGACTTTCACAAGATTTCCACCAAGAGCTCTTACCACCTTTCTGCCAATAGATTTTTCTACTTCTTCAGAAATTGGTGGCCCGTCATAACATTTTTAATTATAATAATAATTGCTTACACTTATATAGCGCTTTCATGGACACTCCACTCAAAGCGCTTTACAGGTAATGGGGACTCCCCTCCAACACCACCAATGTGCAGCATCCACCTGGATGATGCAACAGCTTCAGTGGGTTGCCAGTGGGTTGCCTGTTGTGAGTTGCAGGGTGATATGGCTGCTGGCCATTTGTGCTGGAGTTGTCACTGTATATAATTAACTATATTATCCACTGTATATATTTTTTGTTGCTGGCACGCTACTGTACGTAGAAGACCAAAATTCTAGAATGAATTGTGCTTTATGCTGTTTGAATCACTATTAACTGGAAGATATGCAAATTATGCAACTGGAACTGGAGGAAGGTTTGCACTTCAGATAGGGTTTGGAGGCAATCCAAACAGTTTTATTTTTATTTGGAATGCAAGAAAAAGTGCAAAACAGTTAATAATACAGTTGGAGAATATAATATATAGGTAAAAAATTCTGTTCATTGCTAATCCTCTAACAATTCATTGCTCATTTAAAGAATTGCATTTTATTCTGCCCTTGCAACACATAGTGTCTTAACATTTTTTTTCTTTTTAAGATTTTTTTATTTGGGTGGCACGCTGACTCAGTACTTAGCATTGGTTCCTTACAATGCTGGGGACCTGGGCTCGGTTCTGGACCTGGGGTGCTATCTGTATGGAGTTTGTATGTGCTCCCTGTGTTCATCGTTTTTCTGTCCCTCAGTCCTTCAACTGAGGCCCGATCAGAGCACCACTTTTCTATCTCATTTTTTTGTCCTCGTCCAGTCACCACCTGTAACGTGCCCCACACCGAATTCAGATGCACGTTTTTGCATGGACTTGCCTTTGTCTGGTCTTTTTAACGCTTCAAGCTTTTGCTCCTTTGAAAGAACTACTTTCGTTCTCTTCCCACTTGTCATGTTTCTCCAATAATAAAATTATATTTACGAGCGCAAATGAACAAGCGAAGCTACATCAATGGCAGTATTTGACGCTCCGAGACACAAAGCAGCATGGGATTGGGCAAAATATCATGCATGCGCACACATACAGTACATAGCATATATGTTTATAACATGTTGATTGCTACGTCTGATAAAACAGAATGTCGGATAATCGAGACTGTACTGTAGTTGGTTAATTAGCTTCTAGGAATATTTGCCTGAGCTGAGATTGTGTGCGCATCTTGTGTCTTTTCTGTGATAGACTGGTGTCCCATCCAGGCTGTATCCTGCCTCGCGCCCATTGCTTGCCTGGATAGGCTCTGGCTCCCCCACACCCCTTAATTGGAAGAAGCAGTTAGAAAATAGAGGGATGGATTTTTTGTTTAGACCTAGCCACAGAATAGCCAACAGCTATATCACCCTGCAGCTCTCAACTGGCAACCCACTGAGGCTAAGCAGGGTTGAGCCTGGTCAGTACCATGATAGAAGACCTCCTGGGAAGCTATGGTTACTGATGGAGGTGCTGTTAGTGAGACCCGAGGGGGGCCCCCACACTGACCGCAGGGTCCTAATGGGTCCTAATGCCCCAGTATAGTAGCGGGGGCACTATACCGTAGTAGGCGCCGTCTTTCAGATGAAATGTTAAACCGAGGTCCTGACTCTCTGCGGTCATTAAAGATCCCCGGTCATTTCTCGATAAGAGTAATGTCGGGCCAAATTTTCATCCTCATCCTCCAAATTGCCCCCACGTGTGATTGGCTTGCACTTGCCCTGCATGGACTGGCACCCGTCCAGAGTGTACCCTGACTTGTGCTTGATGCTTGCCGGGTAGGCTCCGGCTCCCCACAACAATGTATGGTATAAAGCGGTTTGGCAAATTCCATGACATGACCTAGCCACAGAAATGTTAATTTTTTGTTTCTTGAAGCTGTGTCACAAAGGAAAACAAATAGGAGAGGCATTTCTAACTTAAAACACAAAGAGGCGTCTGGAACAAGCTTCCAGAAACCCAAGGTATCCATAGGACATACCGTAGCTGGGTGAGATTTCATGATCCATTATCTACTGTTCAAGTAAACAAACACGCAAACCCACTACATGCCCTCATCTTCCTCATTACCTTTATAAGTGTACTGAAAGGATTATGGAGTGTTTTCGTCAAAATTTGGTTTAGCTGTCT